ACCCTGTCCTACCTCGCGGGGCGCGGTTCACTCGGCTCCTCACGCGGTACCCGCCCCCCCCTCCCCCCGCCACAGCTTGGCTCGCTTTGCTTTCCGCTCTTCGTACAGGAGGAGGAGAGGAGGATGAGTCTGCACAGGAAGGAACGGCGCGGCCCCGGTAACGTCACCCGCCCGGCTCGCGGGAAAAGTCAACGTCGTCCTGGGAAATCACCGCATGACTCTTGCGCGCCGAGAGGCTGCCGGCGGCGGTCGGGGAGGCGGAGCGGCTCGCGCCGACCCCCTGACCCCTGACCCGGTGGGGCAGGGGAGGCTGCCGACTCACGAGCGCACGCCTCGCACACGTCACTTGGGAACGGGATACTTTTCATTGGGGCTATAATGGTTATTAAGTTACCCCACCAGTCAAAATGTTATCTACGGGGATCCGTTCGTCTTTTGCACTTTACAGTGTGGGTGTTCTAAGCCCGGCGCCCTTCTTGCTTCTTCCCCCGGCTATACTGTACCGGATGCAGGCGTGCGGGCTGGTTGCATACTCCCAAGGGAGCGGTAAGACGCCGTGGTGGGCGACGGTAGGCAAGCCCGCCCGCACACCTGCATCCGGTACAGTGCATACAGCCAGGGGAGAAGGGAAGGACGGCCTAGTTAGTACAGAACACACACCCCACACTGTACTACTTACGCGTTCAAACAAAGTAAGTGCCGTGATGAAATGTTTTAGTATAACCCCGTCTGTTTCGAAACATGCACGGCGGCGATTCAAAGGCGGGAGGTCGTTTTCTTAAGGACAACTCGACCACATTATGGTCACTCTGCTGCCCGGCCACCACGTGGGCCGGGCGCCGGCCGCAGCGCAGCCTCCCGCTCGGCCCTGACCCGACGCAAGCTGGCCGGCCGGCCGGCGCGGCCTGCCCGGTGATTCAGATGGTTCGGATCATCATGATCCGATCCCAACCCAACGCGACGTACTTTCCGACGGCGTTGAGCAATCCACCCGACCCGGACGCCCCGGACGCTTGTTCCGTTCCAGCTGTCCCCGACCGCACCACCCCTTCTATACTGTTGCAACCGGGTGCAGCGGCAGCACTTTCGGTGAAAGACGAAGAAGAGGGCGGCGGTTGGTGGGAGATCCCCGACCAGCTGGGCACAGCCCACCCACTGCACCCACACACCCACCGGCGGCACCCACTCACTTCACCCACTCACTCACTCCCCCGTGGTCATGGTGCAGGCCGAGCCCTTTCGGGGAAACTCCCGCTCGAAAAAGACCCACAGAAGCATTAGTGTAATCAAACCGATTCCTAATAAGCCTCGTTAAAGTAAGAGGGCGTTAGTCCTCCTCACCCTGCCCCCTTCCACTTCCTCCTTGCATCGGGAAAAAGCCCATCACAAGTCGCTCGCGTAGCACAAACTATACCCAACATTACGATTAGTCCTCACCTCATGAGTATGGGTCCTCTGCCTGTCCCTGACCGCGGGCTCGCTCGCCGCGAGTCTTCCTTGAGCGGGGGACACACGGTGGCGGGTGGCACAGCGCTGCTGCTGCTGTCCACGAGGAGGAGGCCGAAATCACGTAGCGAACGTAGTGCTTCTGCTGCCGCTCCTCGGCACGACTGTGGGAAAAAAACAACGACAATTATTAATTATTTAGGTTGTGACAGCGGCTAATTAACGACGCGGCCAAACACTCCTAGCTCCTCAAACTACAGACAGACACCCGCCGCGGCAAGGCGAACCCACTTAACCACCGTGCACCCGAGCCGTGCACTGACTATTACCATCTGCAGGGGGAGGAGGGGCAGAGGGAGACGTCACAACAGCGCCGAAAAGTACAGGGCGGACCCACCCACGCGCGCCGATAGAGAGTGTGACAGACAGACAGACAGACAGACAGACAGACAGACAGACAGACAGACAGACAGACAGACAGACAGACCAGGTGTGTCCGTGACGTGCCCCTCCTCACCGCGCGGCGCGGTCGCGACCCGGCTCAAGAAAGGTACATATGTACACGGGGTCCCCGGGGCCGCGGGGTGTCGTCGTCGTCGCCGTGAGTCGAAGGGCAGCGTCATGACACTGTGGGGCCTTCACTGCCGGCTTCGAACACAAACGGAACCGAGAGGCTCGCGGTGCGGTGAGGCCGGCGGCGTGCGCGTCTCGGCTTGTCAACTCCGCGCCGCGCCACGCCCCGCGACGCGCTCCACCGACCAGACTGGCTGGGCTCCTGGCTTCCTCCTTTGAGCCTTGCCTTGCGCAACACGGCGCCGAGCCCGACACCAACAGCTGCCTTTGGACACATTATTGGAACGTTTCGGTCCGGGACGCGGCCGCGGCGACAGCGTCGATCGAGTCGACTCACCGGGTCCAGAGGCTCCGGGCTCCGGGCCGCGCTCGGGGGCGGGGTCGGGGGCCGCGCCGGCCGCGCTGCCGCGTCGCGCGTAAGGGTGACGCAAGCCGGCCGCGACGTGTTGAAAATGCGTTTGCTTTGCACGTTTTGCGCCACGGCACAGTGCACAGCCATCGCTGGTGTTTGGTTTCCTTGACGCGGGAGGCCGGAGGAGGCCGCCCCCGCTGCAGCAGCAGCAGCAGCTTCATCCCCTACCCGGGGGCTGGTGTGGGGGGTGCCGTCAGGTGACACGTGACTACGCCCTCCATCAGCTGTCTCACACAAAGCCACACAGCCGTACAGCCGTGCAGGCGCAGCAGTACACATTTGTGCCGCGAGTGCGCACTTCCATACAGTCGGAGTGACTCATACCGTCTTGCCAGAAATGTCACCCGCGAGTCGCTTTGCTTTACTCGGTAGTACCGCTAGTGCGAATCCTTGTCCGATTTGGAACAACAGTCACATAACCACCAGCGTTTCGCGATTTTTTTCTGCTTAAAAATGACAGGTCACGAGGTCGCGCAAAACGCAAAACTCCCATAAATGAGAACTGGGCACAGAGTGCGAAGGCGGTGAGATGCTAATGCCGGTGTAGGCGTTGTGGTGCAAGAGCAGCGCCGTCGGCTTATCACTCACAGCCCGCTGGAAGCTGTGGCACTTCCCTTGTACCCCGTACTCCCCCCCCC